ACCTCCCATTCTGCCCCTCCTCCTACCCCACCCCACCCCACCCCAGAGCCTGCACACCCAGATGGAGCCTTCTTCCCCCCCGCCACCTCACCCCCCCCCTCCTGGTCCCACTCCAAAGCCCTCACTCTGGTCAAAAGACACAATTACACTGGGTCGTCGGCACCAACCATTTTCTTCAACTGGGTCATGAGGAAAAACGTTTGAAACCTGCGGCCCTAGCCGTGACGTGACGTGGACTCAGTGACCACTAGAGGGTGACATTGTCAACAGGCCTGCTTGCGTCCAGGAGCTGTGAGCAGAAGCTGACCCATCTGAGGGCGAAGGGCTGGCCATGCATCAAGCTAATACCCTGGGGAAGCCTTTTGAGTTAGAGCAGGGTTGGGTTGCGTTGACGTGTCTGACTAGGGAACCGCCCCTCCCTCCCCGGACTCTAGTGGCTTCCACCTCCAAGACGGCAAATAGGCCCTTGACTTATTTAAGCTGCTCTGGATGCAGACAGCTCTGCTGCCGTGAGTCCCGCCAACCTACGCCTTCCTTCCCCTCCTCCCTGCAGAGGAAATCAGCCCGGCTCGGGTTCTCATCTCGGAGTCCAGGCCACACAGCTTCCGCGTGAGCTGGGCCCCCACGCCGGACAGCGTGGGGAGCTACCAAGTCCTGTACGGGCCACTGCCGGGCAATTCGGCCCAGCTGCTGGAAGTGGACGGGACACACAACAGCACGGTCGTGGAGAACCTGGCGCCCAACACCACCTACTTGGTGACGGTGACAGCCATCTACAAATCGGGGAAGGAGAAAGCCCTGTCGGCCAAAGCTTGTACACAGGCAGGTAAGTGAGCGGGACCCTGTTCTGGCAGCAAACCACCATCCCCTGGCACGGGGTTGAACGGAACAGAGGCTGGTCGTGTTACCTGCGCTCTGTCATCAAAGTGGCAACCTGGGGTCCCTCCAGAACATGGCCACCTCGTTGGCCAAAGCAGACACTGTGGGGGAAACCCTTCTCCCACCCATCGCCTGTGCAAACAAAGCCAACGCCCCTCTGCAAGGGGGCGCCTCGGTGAAAGGACTCCAGCAAGAGAGCAGGTCGGCCAGCCCAGCTAGCAGGGGCCTGAGGTAGGGTGTGGCAGGGGGCCGGTGCAGGGAACGAAGAGCGAGAGCCATAGAATATGGCAGGGCGACAGCACATAGGACTGGTGAAAATTCAACAGTAGGTTTGTGACAAATCGCCCCATGGCCCCTTACGGAGTCAAGCCCCCCGGAGCATCACAAGCAGCACTGGCTTGGTAGATGCCAGAGACCCCAAGGCCGATGCTGTTGTCCTCTCCTTCCCTGTGGCCTGTGTCTTGGAGCCCGGAGGGATGGAGGGCATGAGCCCCCTCAGGCACTTGGCCAAAACTCCCACACCAGTGTGGTGGGAGTAACTGGGCTGGAAGCTCATGAAGAGGGTGTCTTGTGTCGGGGGCACCCCCAAAGGGAATGTAGCTGGTCAGAGTTGGCGAAATCCGGCCAGATTTACCCCAAATGGATCCGGAGTGAGCAGTGGCAGGGAGCTGACTTGGGGCCGGTTTGCGTGGGTGGGGGTCCGTGTTGCCCAGAATGCTTTGTGTCCGTGTCAGAGCGGAGGCTGAGGACTGAATGGGCCCTGGAAAGGGAACCATCCCCTCCTGCCTGGAGGAGGCCCCCCCGCAGGGCATGGGGAGCCATGCAAAGGGAGTCCAGCTATTGCTCAAGAGCTGTCAACTCCACCCCTTCCCGGTGCCAGAAATGGGCCCGGAAGGAGGGATGACCCTGAGTGGCTGGGCTCCTCTAACCTGCTCTTCCTCCCACCCCCTGGCCAGAGATCTCCAGGGTGAGGCATCTGCGCTTCGAGGACATGGGCCCCAACACCCTGAAGGCCTCCTGGGACTCCGCCGACGGGCCAGTCCTCGGCTACCGAGTGAGGTGCCGGCGGCAGACGGGCCCCTCCTCGCTCCTCAGCGTCTCGCCGCAGATCCACAGCGTGCTGCTGACTGACCTGGCCTCGGGCACTGCCAACAAAGTGTGCGTGAAGCCCGTGTACAGGAGCCAGCCGGGGAAGGGGCTGTGCCGCATGGTGCACATGCAGCCTGGTGAGTCGGCGAGAGGGCAGTGCTGGGGGGAAGGGCTTTGTGAGGGGAGGAGGAAGTGCCATGCTGGCCACTGGTGCCCCTGCATAATGAACCCAAGAGGAAGAGCAAGCCCAAACGCCCGGCCCACCTGCCTCTAGTGGCACTGGCTACTCTGGCATGACAGCGTATTTGGAGCCCGGGGCAGAAGTAGTCTGATTTCGAGGTGCTCGGATCCTGCCCCGTTGCAGAACCTCAGCACCTGTGAAAGTCAGACGCTGCATCCCGGGGGGCTGGTTGGGCAGGATTCTGGCTTGGCATGTGCGGGAGGGGGCCCTGGGGAGATGTCTCCTCTTTCGATCCAGTTTACACCGGACTCCGTGTGAGAAGCGCTGTGGGCCGGGAGGCGGATTCGCTCCGGCTCCCAGGCGGGGGAGCTCTGTTTTAACGGTGCGTTGGGCTCCCTGCCTGTGGGCACTGAGTGCTGCGACAGCGCTGAGGCCTTTCAGAGGTAACCAGCGTGGCTTTGCCCGGCTTTTCCGAGGCGCGTGCTCCTCACTCTGAGAATCCGGCTCCTTTGAGGAGGGGAGTCCCATAAAAATGGAGGTGCCCAAATCGGAGGCTGCTGACATGTTGATCCCAGAATCCTCCTTCTGTTCTTAGCGAGCCCCATCCAGAGCCCTTGAAGTCAGCAATGGAGCCAGCTTTCACTGCCGTTACAATGCTCTTGTGCGGGGAGCGGGGGACAGGATGGCTTGAACATCCGATTGGCTGCTTTGACCTCCCCCAGCTGCCTGTGGTCCCCCTGCCTTGACGGAAGAGAAGCCAGCGGGGAGGCAGCAGCAGGGCGGGAGAAAGTCCAGGGATGCCTCTATGGGAGAAGCAGCGGGTGCGCTGGCAGAGCTGGCGCCAGGGGGAAGTCATGGGTGGTGACGACTCTCCAGAGCAGAGTCACAGGGAGAGGCTGAGTTGAGAGGAGCTTGGAAGGTGAAAACCGACGTGGTCCAGGGGGGAGAGCAGCAGCCAGGGGAGACTGGTGCCTGCAGGGGGAGGGCTGTAGCGTGGCCACCCAGAGGGGCAGGGAGGGGCCACGTGGGGGCACCCCCCAAGTGCTGCTGTAAGTCACCTCTGGTGGCAGCAGCGAGATTCAAAGAGGAGGTGATGCTGTGCGTGACAGGAAAGGAAGCGGATCCAAGTTGAATGGCTGGGGGTGGGGGCGTGATGGGGAAGAAGTGGAGGGAGGTGAGAGCTGTGCGTGACAGGAAAGGAAGCGGATCCAAGTTGAATGGCTGGGGGTGGGGGCGTGATGGGGAAGAAGTGGCGGAAGTTGAGAGAGGAGAAGGGGCAGGCTGGGAGAAGCGCTGTGCTGTGTGGACAGAGGAAAGGTCAGAGTTTGGACTCTGCCCGGCTAGACAAGGCCAGGGAGAGGGTAGAAAGAAATTCCCACCCACCCCCCACCGGTAAAGGCCTGAGTGATGGTGGAGCTGTGGCGTGAGAGGCGAGGGCTCTCCTGAGAGGCTCAGACAGGCCGCTCTGACCTTTGTCCTGTATGCCCTTTCCAGGGACAGAAGCACAAGGATACAAGCACAGACAGACAGCGTGAGGGACGCTGGACTGAGCCGTTCCCTTTCACACGAGGGGACAGGATTGGACAAGGAAGAATGGGGAGACCTTGCAGATTGGCTCCCATCCTGCATTTCCCCTTGAGGTGTGTGATTCCCTCTAAGCTCCTGAACTGCTACGTGCCACCCCCAGCTTAGAAAATAGCTTGGCTGGCTGGAGCAAGAAGACGGGCGGATGGATTCCAGCCATGCAATGGGAGCAGGTTAAAAATTGTGCTTCCTTCTGCGTTACCCTTTCCTGTACTCCTTCCCCTGAAAAATAGCGACAGAAGGGCCAAGTGGGAAATCTTTACTGTTGTTTGCTTCCTCTTTTGTTATTTATTCGCTGTCTTGTTGGGGCTTTTGCAGAGAATAAATCCCTTCCTGACACCTTACAGTAAGTGCACCGATCTTGCACTGATCACAAGAGTCCGGGAGCCAAACTTAGCTCTGTGGTATAACTCCACTGAAGCTACTGGACCAGGGTGAATTGTGGCCTATGAGTCAGTGGATCTAGGAGGCAGATTTAGGGACTAGCATGACTACAAAGAGTCAATTCACCTAACGAATAGAGCCTTCCACCCAAACGTCCCGTGATGTTCAACAAGCCTCACAACAGGGCTCCTGTCATCCATACCTGCAATGCAGCCCCTTCTGATGTGGGAAGACGACGACGACGATAAAGGCACTTAGAACATGCAGGGACAATCCAGCTAGAAGAATCGCTTGGGGAGAAGAGGGACAACGAGAGGCAAGAACCCATCTAGAGTTTGGCCAGGGCATGTTAACTCCCTGACTCTAATGAAGTGCCCTGGGGTGTTTAATAACCACAGCCTGGTCACACCTTAGGGCTGTGACTCTCTCAGAAGACTGGCAGTCTTGGTCTGATTAACTCCCAGGAATGGAGTGGCAGGGTTGTTCCAGGTCACGGTGAACGTGCACAGGCAGAACTGTGTGAAGGAAGCTTGCACAGGACTTGTCTTATCAACACTGCTTCAATCTGTCAGTTACAGGGATGCTAAATTCCCCCCTCCCACACGCCCACACACCCCAAGTCTGCTCAGAAATGAAGAGATTTCAGCAAATCCTGCTCTTCCCCTCACCCCTACTGCTGGTACCAGGTTACACCCTTTTCTGCCTTCTGTGGGGATCAAGTGGTGTGTAAGAGGCACAGTAAGGCCAGCTCAGGTCGGTCTCTCACACACACACACAACATGGTTGGGCTAGCTGGGCTCCGCAGGTGGAAGACCCAGAATGACCTGGAGACGGGAGATTAATTTACTCTCATGTCCTGAGACACGTCCCATTGAGTGGGTTGGAGTCCCATCAGCAGAGCAATATGGGGAACCTCTCAGAACCTGCCTGTTCGCACTCCCCTAGACCATCATCAGGAGCCTTCCCCCACCATCCTAGTCACATCGAGAACTTTTTCGTACTGCGGCTGCCCTGCATGTAAAGGAGATGGCTGCGGGAGGCGCACTGCTTAGCTGTCCTCTCGCCCCCCCAGGCTGGGCCCTGCTGCCTTCTCGGGATGGGAAAGTGCGTATGTGGAAATGAGGCTGCGGATCTTTTTAGTACCTAATGAAAATGCCATTTGGGAGGTGCAGTTCCCCCTGCCAGGGCATGGGAGTGAAGGAAATGTACATACTGCTCGGGGAGCGAGGGCACAGCACCAACACGCATGTATTCCCCTAGAAGCGTGTGCTCTGTTCAGTGTCCATTGCTTATTTACCCTGCATGTGAAGCATTTTAGTAGCCATCCCCTGTGTCTGGGAAGCCATGTGCTAAAGCCTGCAAGCTCACCGTGGGCCTGATTCTGCACCATCCGGGAGCGTTGTCGTTGACTTGATTGGACGTAATATATGGCCCTCCGATTAGGTGGCGTACATGGGGCAGACCCCATGAACAAAGATGACAGTCGTCCCTTGACCCCCGCCAGGTAGCTTCCAGAGCCTGTACTTTCTTTGTGGAGGTGTGTGTGTACTTGACTAACATTAACATTAAGGGCAAAATGCAGCCTTCTGAATCTTTCACACAATAAGGTATACAAGCATCTTGCTAGTTTTTGCTGTAAGATGAAGATTGGTTAATACTGCATAACTCCCTGGCATAACTTACTATACATTAGGATTGCCTTCCCTCTATTGTAATGTGTCCTTTTGAAGACAGTAAATTCAATATACAACACAAGATCTGTTGAGTTGGAATGATTCTTTCCTGCTGGCAAAGCTGCTAAAGGTAATTTTTGCTCTGATGAGAGGCGCTTGCGGAAAACCTGGTATTCGTTTTAATTATAAGTGACTCTATATAATTGTTCACATGCCACCATGGTCAGTGGCTGTGGCAAGAATTGATGAAGGAGATACTCAGTGTACAGTTTTAGGGAGACTCTCTTTATATACATTGGTTAAGGAATATATAGAACTGAATAAAAAGTACCATTAAAATATGTGTCCAACATGTATCATAGCCAAGCTCATGTTGTTTGAGAATCCTCAGTTGCTGTAAATCAAAATCGCATCAGTGGAGTTACTGATTTATAGCAGCTAAGAATCTGGCTCCTTTCCTTTGCAATTGTAGGATGTGTGTGTGTTTTATATCCCCAAGATGAATGGTTTTTTAGCAGGATTTCTGGCATGCTGGTGTATTAGAAATACCTAGATAAGATTCACAATAATGTTGACTATTTCTGTCACTGCCACAAGGGTAGGTTATAAAGCACGCTACAGGTCTTAAGTTTTTTTCCCCATTGTCCTTTGTGACATCTTTGGCTTTATTTTAACTTCCGTGACACAGCCTGTGTACAGTTTAGGTGTAGATTTAAAAGGCAAATGTGAATGAGCCAGTGTTCTGTTCTTGGAATAATGCCTCCAGGAATGTACATGGCTTTAAAAAAAGCAGGAAAGTAAATGCCTTTTGCAATCATAAAAAATGGGCCTTAGCAGATAGGATTGTGACAGCAGTGCCTGTGAACCTCAAACATTCAGCCAGGCTGGGTGGGTTGCAGTAGTTGAAACTTAAACACTTGGGAATGAAATCCTTGTGGTTTTAGGGTGTCAGCCAAGCTTATGAGGAGGTTGGAAAGGAACTTCTGCTACGAGCAGGCTAGTCCACTAGTGCCCATTCGGGGGTCCTTCCACCTTCCTCTGAAGTCCCTGGTGCTGGTGCCTGCACTAGCTGGGACCACTGGTGGGACCTGGCACAGGTTCCCCAGCCTACCTTGGTGGAGGCATAGTAAGTCTTCAGAATATTGCCTGCCAGTCAGGTACTTGCTTCATTGGGAAAGGGAGTGTAACCCTTCCAATCTAGTTCCCTTGTTACCTATGCTGGGCTAGCTGCCCTTAGCAGTTCTCTGCTGGAAAAGCCCGTGTATTTGGCCCCAGCTGCAGAGTTTAGCTCTGTTTGGTTTTGTTCTCCTAACTCATAACAAGCCTTGCTGCTGTTCCAGGGTGAAGAATTCTGCTTGCAGCTTCTTTCTGCAACAGCCCAGGCTCAAACATACTCCAGCATGAAGCTGCACTCTGGCTTATGTGGTTGAGCAATTGGGTCCAAGCAGCAGGGAGGCCCTGTTTGCTCAGAGCTGCAGGTGCCCAGAGGGCTACTGAAGTCAGTACTAAGCTGGGATAAATTGCACTTTTGACTTCAATGGCGCTTTAAGGGGCTGTGGGAGGGTGTTTGTCATGGATATGGCTCTGTGGGGTATAAAAGCTAGGCCAGTTTCCCCAGGCCCGAGGAGAAGCATTCAGCCTGCCAGGAAAGTGCTCTGACAACGTGAGGAATGAAAGGCTCCCGAGAGCAATGGAGTTTTGTTCAGGGCTTCCCTTTTCCCGGGTGCACTCTCCTGCAGCACTGCGAGTCCTTGCCATAAGCTGAAGTCAATGTTTCTGCATGCTGATGGGGAAGCAGCTACCTGTGCTGCAGCCAGAGGGGGCTGGATGGTTTGTTTCCAGCACTCTGCCATGAAGAAGTTTATTAAATCCCAGCCTTTAAAATCTCCTGAGGAACCAGAGCAGCAGGTAACCAACATTTGCAGTTGCCCTGAAAATGAGAGTGCTGCCGAACAAGTGGCTTCTGCCTTGGGGGAGCTTCCTCTCCTTTATCACCACCAAAATGCACCATTGCTTGCAAATGGACAGCACAGCCCTGGGTGAAAATGGGCTCAATCCAATGCAACAGCAGCAACTGCAGGGGAAAAGGAGAAGAGAAAATTTCTTGGGCTCGTAAAGCTTGCAGGGAGAACCTTAGGCTCAGCTGAACATATGAGAAGAGAATCTTCTTTAATTCAATGCACACTGCAACCACATTTTCTCTAGCAGTAAAGCTTGCAAATGGACAGCACAGCCCTGGGTGAAAATGGGCTCAATCCAATGCAACAGCAGCAACTGCAGGGGAAAAGGAGAAGAGAAAATTTCTTGGGCTCGTAAAGCTTGCAGGGAGAACCTTAGGCTCAGCTGAACATATGAGAAGAGAATCTTCTTTAATTCAATGCACACTGCAACCACATTTTCTCTAGCAGTAAATACAGTACTCCTTTGACTCTGCATGTAAATTATAATCCACCATCACTTACCTAAAAAGGGCCCACCCGTCCCCCTTCTGATACCACTGGTTTATTACAAAGCAGAAGGGACAGCACTTGATTTTTTCCAATCCTGCATTCAGTTTCCCATGTTGGTAGGAAGAAAATTCTGGCTTTGAGTTCCATGCTGTGAATGTTGGATTTGGAGTAAACAGGGCAAAAATCTATGTTAAGTGAATGCAGCTACAGGAGATGCACAGGGGTAAATGGGTGTAGACTACAGCTGAATGTTGCTGGTCACTTGTGACCACATTTGCACGTTAGGTGATTTAGTGTAAGCCATAAATGTTACGATTCTTTGGAACAGAGAACAGTGTATGTGAGCTGGATGGGACTGCAAAGGTTTCAGGAGCATTTGAGCTCTCATATTCCATGGGAATTCAATGGGAGTGGAATTAGGGATGTTAAATATTGGTTAGTTGAATAGTCGAGCAACCTCATGAATTCTTATCAGTTAGTCGGCTCGTCTATAGTCCCCAGGGGCGGGGCCAGCAGCAGCGTGGGGTGCCAGGTGGGAGTTAGTCTGTGAGGGGACCCAGTTTAAAAACCCGCTCCCCTTGTAGACCAGCTGCTTGTCGCCCTATGCTGGTGCCTCTGATAAAGAGGCAGCAGTGCAGGGTGGCAGCAGCCCCTGTCAGGGAGGAGTCTGAACTCCCAAACCCAGCCCGAACTGGAACTAAGTCGGGCTGCCTGCCCACCCGGCTCCTAATACACTTTAAACGCAGAGCCACAGCAGGGGTAGGTCTTGGACCCAGCATGAGCCAGAACTGAGCGGGGCTGTTGGCCAGCCTGCTAAAAAATGTATTAGTTCGGGGGGTAGGAATAGAGGGAAATGCATGTAGTCTATAAGCTTTTGCTTCTCCGTTAATCGACTATGCTATTACATTCCTAAGTGGAATTCCCAAATCCCTTAGCGTCTTTTAAAAATCCCCAAGTTGCTGTGAGATGGGCTGTTTGCTGCCTCATTTCATTCATGTTCCTAGAATCAGCAAAATCCAGACCTTTGGAATGTTGGTTATTCATGAGGTAGAGTCTGCAATAGTTTATTAATCATCCAGGTTTCTCATTTATACAGAATTTCTACACAACAGTCATCCCAAGAGAAAACAATCACATGAAAGGGAAGAACAAACTAGTGAGATGAAAGAACCACTTCTGAACAAAGACATAATGAGTCACATTTTTTAAACACAGCTGCCTAAAGTTAAACTCCTAAATCCCTATTTAGGCATTTGAAAAGAGTTGGCCTATGTGTACTATGCAGAATATGTTAACAGTGATCATTTGCTCATGCTACCACAACACACAGGGTGAAATCCTGGCTTCCACTGAAGTCATGGGAGTTTTGCCATCTTTCAGTCAGAAAAACCTTACATAGGTATAGTACAAATCCCTATAGCTTAAATTCTAGTCACAAATTCATTGCACAACAACATGGCAATAATACCTAGGCCCTATATCGTCCTCTTTATCTACTGATCTCAAAGCACTTTACAAAGGTAACTCTCATGATCCCCATTTTAGAAATAAGAAAACTGAGGGACAAAATGACATGTCCAGGTTCACGCAACAAGTCAGTAGCAGACTTGGGAAAAGAAACAAGCACTACTCATGTTCAGTCCTGTGCTCTGGCCACTGGACTGTCTATCATGTAAAGGTGTTCATTTTCTAGTGCAGCTCTTACTGCTTTTGGGGGGGGGGGGGGGG